ATAGATTATGGAAAACAGTATGGGGGTTCCTTTAAAATTAAAAAGCAAGGGGCCAGGGATTTAGTTCAGTGGTTCAGTGGCCTGCCTCGCAAGAGCAAGGACCCGAGTTCAATCCCCGCTACCAAAAAATAAATAAATAAAATTAAAAAGCAAAACTACCATGGGTCCCAGCAATCCCACTACTGGGTATATATCTACAAGGAATGAAGTCAGTATGTTCAAGAGACACTGACATCCATATTTATGTTTATTTGGAGCACTGTTCACAACAGCCAAGATGCAGAATAACCTAACAATCCATCAACAGACATATAATGTGTGTGTGTGTGTGTGTGTGTGTGTGTAACTGAATAAAAAGAAGGAAATCCTATCATTTACAACATGAACAAAAATACCCTGGAAGATATTATGTTAAGCCAAGCACAGAAATACAGATATTTCAGATTTAACTGTGTGGATTATAAAAAAGTTGAACTCTTAAAAGCAGAGAGTAGAATGTTAGTTAAAAGGGATTTGGTGGGGTAGAGAGTTGGGGAATAAAAATTTAATAAATGCGAGAGATGGGCCAGAGATTTAGCTCAGTGGTTCTGCCATCTGCCTTGCAAGCACAGGGACCCGAGTTCGATCCTGGGTACCAAACTAAAAAGGGGGAGAGATATTTTGTACTCGTGGATTGGAATCTTTCACATTGTTTTCTTTATTAATATGTGTTCATGATGCAAAATTACATTCACCTTGGGAAACTGGTACATATACATATGCAATCCTGGCCTTTTTTATTCCCTCTTTCCCCACCCTCCCCTGCTCTTCCTTCTACAGATGCTCTTCAGTTATTTCCGGTTTGATCTATAGACTCAATGGAATCCAAATAAAAGTCCCAATAAACTGTTAGTAGACTGATAAATCATTTCTACAACTTATATGCACAGATAAAGCTGCTAGAATAACTGACAAAATTCTGAAAAAGAATGAAGTTGGAAAACTCACACTGTCAATTTCAGAATTCACTATAATAAAGCTACAGCAATCAAAACAGTGTGGTCAAAAGAATAGGCACGTACATCAAAGGCACAGAACGAAGAGCTTAGAAATACACACAAATACAGTCAACTGAGTTTGGAACTCAACATTACTTGTCAGAAAAATGCAGATCAAAATAAAATCAAGCTAAACATACATATGAAATTTAAAACATACATATGAAACATACATATGAAATTAAAACATTAAATTAATTAAAATTAAATTAATTAAATCAAACATTAAATTAAAACATACACATGAAACTTGCTAAATTATTAAAAAGTGGCAATACCAAGTACTGATATATAGGAACACTCATTGATTGCTGGTAAGAAGGAAAAATAGTACAATCATTTTGGAAGATAGTTTAGAAGTTTCTTATCAAGTAAAATATAGATTTGCCACATAGCCCAGCAATTGTACTCACTGGAAATCTGATGTCTACATGAAATTCTGCGCATAAATGGTCAGAGCAGCTGTATTTGGAAGAAAGCTGGAAGCAACTAAGGTGTTTTTTAATAATGGATGAACAAAGATACACCCATAATTTGGACTACTACTCAGCTTTCAAAAGGAGCACACTCTTACTCCACATAACAATATGGATGAAATTCAAATGAAAGAAGACATTCTTAAAAATTACAACTAGCATGATTCCATTTATGTGACCTTTTTAAAAGGCAAACACTAGAGATAGAAAACAAACCAGTGATTGCCAGAGGTTTGGAGATGGGAGATTGTTGAGTAAGTGAAGCACCGCAGATATTTTGGAGCCAAGAAACTATTCTGCATGGTACTACAGTTACTAAGATATCAGATAAGGATTTAATATCTAGAATATACAAAGAGCTCCTATACTATCCATTTCTCAAAATCCGTAGAGCTTTACAACACAATGAGTAAACATTAAGGTTTGCAAATTTTTGAAAAATCTACTAGGAGAATTGGAGAATCACAGAACAGAATGTTGACATTAACAAAAGAATCAAATTGTATTACAAGTGTATCAGGTAATCTCACTGAAGCACTCAGTGAACAGATGTGCTAACCTAAATAACTTTTAAAATGACTATAAACTATAAGACTAATGATCAAAAGAACTATTTATAAGCACTGTACTCTAGTTGGCAGAGGTGTTTCTCATGGGGGTTGATATGGGTTATCAGCTCTGAAACCCAACTACATGTATACCAGAATTAAACAGTAAAGGAAATGGATGGCAGGTGGTAGCAGTCAGATTTCTCACTGTTGAAGTGGGAGGTTATAGAAAAGTAAGGGAGAAAGATAGAATGAGCCATGTGAATGGGTTAGAATTAGAGACATTAGGATGAGCTCATGTTCTTCTTAATATAGATATTTATGATAGATACAGAAACAGTTTTGTGTATATAATATATATACATACATTTTCTAGCTCAGCCCACGGTGAGTGGGTCCCTGGTAGCAATGAACACAGTGGATATGTAGATTTGTGTTTGTAATGTCATTTTCCAATAAAAGCAACCAAACTCCTTGGAGAAAGTGCTGCTTCTAAGGACAGAGCAGAAAGTAGACAAGATAAGCCTGGGCTATCTTGTAGTATCAGAAAGCAAGGAAATGCTCAAAAGCAAAACAACAGAGATGTGTCAAAGGGACACAGGAGCCAACAGAAAGGGCTCTCAGCCAAAATTGGATGATTCAAACAGCAAAATAAATATAGTTTTGGTTTATTACACAAAGAAGATAATAAATGTCCATTAGCATATCTTGATATAATAAATGATTGAATAAATACATAGCAAAAGAACTCCAGATAATTTATGTAGCCACTTCTCCCTCAAGGAGGTAGAATGTAACTCTAGTCCTGAAATGGGGGCCATACATGGTGACTTCCTCCTGTTTGAAAAGCCCAGAGAACAGTGGCCATTAAGTAACCAGGAAGGACACTGAAGTAGGTTGTCCCAGCCTTTTATGGGCATAGGGAATCAATGAAGAGGCTGAAAGTTATTGGCCAAACCACACCCTGCTCTGGCACACAGGAAAAAGGAGACAGGCACTTCTTGTCTATCTCATTAGTATAAAGTATACAATGGGAAGAGAGAAAAGAAGTAAGATTGTGATGGCTAAACCTGGCAAATATGCCTTGGCCAGGTAATCAAGATGAACATTATTAATGATAAGTGATGTTGATAGCATGTTTCCTTGATAATGTTGAGAAGAACATTATCCGTGGCCTTCCTCCCAAAAACCATAACCCCAGTCTAATCATGAGAAAAAAATCTGACAATCCCAAATTGAGCAGCATCCTAAAGAATACCTCACCTAGTACTTCTCAAAACTGTACACGCAAGGGCCAGGGATTTGGCTCAGTGGTTCTGCTGCCTGCCATGCAAGTGCAAAGACCCGAGTTTGATCCCCGGTACCAAAAAAAAAAAAAAATGTTTACCAAGATACGATAGATAGCTGTTCATAATTATGGGCTGAGGATTTAGCTCAGTGGTTCTGCCACCTGTCTTGCAAGCACAAGGTCCCAAGTTCGATCACCGGTACCAAAAAACAAAAATAACAACAACAAAAAAAAATTGTAAAGGTGATCAAAACACAAGGAAAATCTGAGAAACTGCCATAGACAAAAGGAGCCTAAGGAGATATGATGATTAATGTAATGTGGTATTCTGGATCTCAGTAAAGAAAGAAAATATTAAGGAAAGGAAAAAGCATTAAAAGCTGAATAAAGTATGGGATTTTTACTAACACTGTAATGAAGCAATATAGGCTCTTTAGTTGTGACAAATGCACCATGGTAATATGTTAATAACAGGGGAAACTTTTCTGTAGATCTATAATTATTCTAAAATAAAAATTGCACTTAAATATATTCTTAATAGCCATGGTAGTTCACATCCCCTGTGACATACCCTTGGGATTATGACTTCGCTGTTCTACCCTGGGAAAACTAGCTTCTATTGCCCCCCCCTTGGATCTGAGCTGGCTTTATGACTTGCTTGGGTGAAGAGAAGTAAATTTGTTTGAGTCATGGAGTCTCCAGAGCCCAAGTATACTGCCAGATGATGAAACACACATCATATAGACACCCCTTGTGCCCTAGCCAATAGCCAGTCACCTGCCAGCCATGTGAATGAGTCCATCCTAGATCAGATAACTTCCCACTGCATCTACCCTCTGATCTGAGACGCAGGGAACCAAGGCAAAATTAGTCAAGCATGGCCCAGAGCAGCAGGACCACCCAGCTGACCTACATGAACAATAAAAAAGCTTTTTGTTTAAAGCTACTGAGTTTTGGTATGATTTGTCAAATAGCATCAGCTAAGTGATTCTCTTGTACCTGGGTACAACAGTGAATGTACAAGGTTATTTGCCATGCTATTGTCTGTGATTACAAAAGATTAGAAGCAACCTCAAGGCTCATCAATAGAAGACTGATGAAATAATTTTAGGAGATCCATATAATGGAATATTATGTAGCTATTCAAAAGAATGAAGCAGTTCTAAGTGAATCAATATAGAACACATTCAACTCATTTTTAAATAAAGGAGCAAGATACAGAAAAGTGGACTATCCCACCAGCACTGTAAAACGTTTGTGTTTGCAAGGACTCACTCCCTAGCTCTGGGAAGAAACTCAGATGGTGTGACCATACCCTGCCCTGGAAAGAGGAGCGTGGCAGCTGATGGACAGGAGCAGTGGCAGACTTCCCTTCCACTCTGTCTTCTTTATATTTTGATCATATAGACGTGTTATCTAGTCAAAAAGAAACTCAAACTGTAGAACCTCCTGTGCCTTTCAAATCTAGAGTTCAGTATACTGTTTCCTAGATATCCAAACCCCCGGGGAGGACAAACAGAAGTCTGGGAAAGAGGAAGCCGTCCCAAGTTCCTCTCTCCCAGACAGTCTGCATTCTGTGTCTTGCCTCCTGCAGAAAGTTAAATTTCAGTCTCCCTTTGGTGAGCTTCACAGGCCACACTTCCTTGCCTACCACTGGAGGGCAGCACAAGGCTTGCTTCCCGGGTAGAGTTTCAGAGTGCTTGCGCTTGACTTGAACAGAAGGCCCAAAAAAGGCTAGAAAAGAGGAGGTGTAAGGGGGAAAATAGGGGCATAAATATGGTCAAAATGAGTTACACACATTGAACACTCTCCCCCACAATCATGTGAAAGCAGTAGGGTGAATAGAGAGCGGTGATGGGGAGGGGAGTGATTAATGTTATGTGCATGTACAAATCTGCCAAAATGAAACCCATTAATCTGGATAACCAAGACGCACTAATAAAAAAGACAGAGAAACAGGTCTCGATTTAGGGGTTAAAACCATCCCAGAACCTCACTGAAGGCAAGCTCGGCCGCCAGTGGAACGGATCCCTGGGGCCTGAAGGAGGGGGCAGCTAACTTCAGTTCCTTGTCCCTCACCTCTACTTGGCTCCATAAAACCATTTGGAGAACTTGTCCTTCCTATTGCTGAAAACTAGTAATCTCTGTAATTAGGACACCGGGAGGGTTTGCCATTTACCAACTGTGAGACCTTGCCTCTTTGCTACCCAGTGTGTCTGAAGGTCTGTAAACTGCGAATGATTGAAAGAATGAATTAAGCACTTGATTTGGGCCATTGTGCTAAGACTGTTAAGCCCCCATTTTATGGAAGAACCTGAGGCCTCCGAGAGGGAGAGTAACTCGCTCATTTGCACACCTGCATTTGAATCCAGATTTCCCTACTTCTGCCTCCAACTGCTGCCCTGGAGGATTTTAAGGAGAAAGGGCTAAGCAAATGCTTTGGAACAGGGCTACAGAGTCAATAATCCCGCTTCCCTCCCGAGATAGGTATGTGACCAGTTGGAAAGGCCAGGAGAGGATAGGGAGGCCGAGTGTCACAGGTCTATCCCGGAGGTTAGGGGAGAGCGGTCTGGCTCCCAGAACTAGAGTCGCCCCTAGTGTGGCTCCTTCCGCTGTGCTCCCCTCCGCGGTCCCGCGCCGGTCCTCACGCCTCGGTAAATAGTCCAGATGAATCTGCAGAAGCGCCCTAACCGTCCCACACTGCAGTTTCCGGCAGCCTGGGGAGGAGGGGATTCAGGGCCACTCGGATATCATCGGGCTTCGGGACGGATTTCTGCCTCCGTCTGTCCCATTGGGGAGGGGCGGCCAGCTGTAGCGTGCTGGAGCCCAGGACGTACACTCCACCGAGTCCTTTCGGCAGAAAGAGTTCGTGTTTTCAAGCAAATGCCTTTGTTCAAGCACCGGGGACAGAGGACCTAGGAGCAGTTGATGCAGGCTGTGCATCTCTTGTCCGTGCTTCCAGCGGGTCTGAAAGAAATGCGCTGAGAACAACCAAAAAAAAAAAAAAAAAAAAAACAGGCGTGAGGCGGCAAGAGTGAGGCAAGAGCGAGAGCGGCACCCGGAGCAGCTCTGCTAGCCTTTCGGGAGGCGGTACGGAGGGGACAGCACACACGCAGTGAGGGGGCCACTGCAGACCCTCATTCGCGGCACCGAGGACAGGGGCCTACCCACCCCTACTTCAGTTTCCCAATCTGCACTGGAGAGGTGCTGTACAAACGCTCAGCCCAAGGCCGGTTCCTCTTCCTCCTTGCTGTAAAGCCTTTATCCGGGCACTGTGGGAGGCCCTCCTCCGCCTGGGAGTGGTGGGGAGCAAGATCTTTCTGAAAAGGAAATGAACAAGTGAAGATATAACAGACAAGATCATCTCACACCGCAACAAGTGTTCATCAGCGCGAGCAGATGCAATATTTGTACCGTCCTCTGTTCTCCCTGTTATGTACACCTTAGCTCCTGTAATTGCCTCCAAACAAACGAATGAGATAGGAAGCTGAAGAATGCACTCGTGGGAAAATCGGTCCGATGCATACAGATGTGAGTAGGAGGTGGATTTGGATGCAGACAGTGCAGCCTAGTGGAGGCCTTTCCTCAATCCGCTATCCCACTTCTGGCTATGCTAGGAGGGAGGGTGACATGTCACCATGCTTATAAGATAACCAGGGCTAGAGGGGTGTCAGCCAGGAGCCGTCCAGCTGAGGCTGATCCCTCAGGAGTGACAGGATCTAACCCAAGTTCTAGGCAGAGGGGACGGCTAGGACAAAGGCCTTGAGGTTGAGGAATGGACTCAGAATTTCTTAAACACGAGGAAGGCCAGGGGGACATGCCTGTCCTTGGGGCAAAGTAGAGAAAGCCTCAGGGAAGATTGGAGATGTCAGAACCTGGGAGGGACAGGTTTTGCGGGTCCCTGAAGGGAGCTGGAATTTTATTCCAGGTACAAAAACAGTTATGACCATGAGTGAATGGAACCAGGTGGTGGGGCGCATCCTGTTCTGCCAGCCTGCTTGGAGGAGGAGGTGGATCAACAGGCCTTAAGCCTCCCCTCGTGTCTGGCCTCCTGGCTTCTAGGAGATTCATGTTGACATTCACTAAGTCCCCAGCCCTTGTCTCTTAACACAAACATGGAAATGTCAGATCGGCTGAGTGGTCATCTTACAGGTGGGGCTGAGGCAGAGGCCCAGGCTGCACGGATGAGCAGGATGGTACCTGTCCCACGTACTCACATACCCTCAGATGGGACTGGGGTTTTGCCTGATCCCCACACTTTAAAAGACCCCTTTAGCTACCCTACAGCTGCATACTTCTCCCAGGACATACCCACCCAAGCCGATGCTCCCTGCTAGAAAAGAGCAGGTTCCTAGGATCCCTGAGTTCCCTGCTCACAAGTCCCACTCCTCCTGTCAGGCCTCGAGCACAGCACTGTGCTGAGTGAAGCCAAGAGCCTTGGGGCACGTGGAGCATGAGTGAGCTGGGACATGCAGCCTAGGCACCTACACACATGCCTGGGGGTGTGCACGGCACCCATGGCACCGGAAGGAGGTGAGAGGAAAGGAAGCTGGTGGCCAGCTGGGAGATGAGGGACAGGTGTCTCTGCCACCACAGTTTAAGTGCAGCCCTCTGACAAATCTGAGGCATCTACACTGAACCCGGCCTTTCAGATCACTATGAAATTAGACTTCTCCAGTAGAAGGACAGAATATTTTTTAAACAAAGTATTATGTTGATTTATAACTTTTAAACAGTAGTTTAGAGGTGAGTGGGCACCACCCCCAATAGCAGAGGTGGGTCTGGCCTAGCACATAGAAGATATTCAATACTTATCAAATAGATGGATTAATCTCACTTAATTTAATCTTCACAGGGCTCTACGGGGAAAATCATAATGCCTGTGTTTTATTGATGAGGAAACTAAGACCTGGAGAGAGTTAGTGAGTGGCCCAATTCATCAAGTTGGAAAGTAGCACTGAGCCTCTAGCCCTGATGTGTCTAATTCCCAAATCCACTGCAGTTGGTCCATGACAGGCTTACACCAATAATGATCATGCTAAATATATAATGAATGTTGAGCGTGTTATTAACTGGTCTTGTGGGACAGAAGCACTGTTTATATTAATGGAAAGGACTTTTCTCCTTGATTCTTACTCCACCTTCTCCAGGATAATAACCCTTGAGAGATAATAAGGAGGAGCCAAATGTTCCACTTACCAATGGCAGGAAAACTGAGGTCCCTAGCAATAAATAGCCCAAGGTGCCATCCAGGCTTAAGCAAACAAGGTTTATTTTTCAGATCTAACAAGGACATAGAAAGAGCCAGGCCAGAGCTGGATCAGTGGTTGCAACATCCTTAGCACAAAGCTTCCACCTATTGGACTGATGTGGTTGTGCATTGCTACATCACAAACTTCCCCCATTGACCATTTTTTTCTACAACTTTGTGGGTCAGATATTCAGGAAGTCCTCAGTGATCCACGGAGTCAGAGTGACTGATGTTATTAGGTGGTATGTGACTAATACTTGAGCCAGTCTGGGGCATTAAGGTGATTTTACTTGGATACCTGGTGCCATAGTGAAGATGATGGGGATGCTGCAGTCAGCAAGGTCCTTCTTCCTCTCTGTGTAAACTCAGGGCTTCTCGAGGTGACTAGCTAAGGTCACAGCAGCAGGCAGTTAACCTTTCTCATGGCAGTGCATAGCTCTAAGAGGCCATGGCAGGAGCTGCCCATCCCATTAAGAGCTACACCTAGAAGTGAGATAGCATCGTTTCTACATACTCTATTGGTCAAATAAGTCACAGGACAGCCCAGGTTTGTGTACAGGAAAAACAGACTCCTCCTCTCAAAAGGAAGGTGAAAGAATTGGTAGTCATCTTTAATTTGCCACATGGCCTAATATGGCTACTTGAGATGTAACCAGAACATCTCATTCCAGCTACAGTAGAAAGGAGCAAGAAAGGAATGAGATGCTTACCCTGCCTTTTAAGCCATTTTCTAGAAGACACAAAACTCACATGGTCATACCTAAGGTGTGGAAGGGAAGCTGAAAACTAATGTTAACTCCAGGATGCCATGTGTTTCACCTAAAATTAGGAATTCTGTGACTAAAGAAAAAGTGGATAATGAGGAAAAACTAGAAATCTGTTTGGCCAGTGGGGTTTTTGCTACCAACAGCCAAACACATTCCTAGCAGGCATGTTTCACTAGCTCACTGGTCCCTCCTACTACATTCTCCACAGTGTCATCAAAATAATCTTTCCATCATTAATGTTTCATGTTCCTGAAAGATAAATCCTCTAATCATTTCCATGCCAACAGCAAGGATCTGAAGTTTTTCTTGTGAGGGCCATGAGATTTTAATGCCTAAAATAACAATAGCATTTCCCACTTCCTAGGCAGTGCACTATGCACTGTAAGGACACAACTCACTCTGTCTTCACAGTAATGAATGAAGATCAAGGTGAGGAAAAAGGAGCCCAGGGAGGTTAGGTGACTTGCTCCAAGCCACACAGTGAGGAGGGCTGAGATTCAAATTCTCAAAGATCATATCCTAGAGATGGGCTGAGATGTTCACACAAATAAATCCCAGGGTTTGTTGAGTGATAACACCTCTAGAGAAAGGGCAAGTGTCATTGGTGTGTGACCCTGGGGCAAAGAGCCTGCAGCTTCCCTCTGTGCCCTGCAGTCCATGGGTCAGGAAAAGTACATCCAGCCAGTTCCATGAGGCTCTTGCCACCTCTAGCTTTGAGGTTGTTCTGAGTTCAGGTTCTGCTTGCCTTTACCTTGCCCTGTTCAAAGACCAAGAGAAGTGCCCAGATTCCTCAAATTCAATTCTGCCCATCTCCAAATGTCTTCATGAGGAAGAGGAAAATGGATAAACAAAGTTAGATTCAAATCCTGGTTCTGTCTGCTGGTGAATCTCAGTTTCTGCATCTGCCAAATGGCAGGGGAAACTGCTGCTTTGGCAATTCCTCAACTTTTTGAGGACAACAGGACCAAGGCAGGGACAGCCCTTACCAAGTGGAGCCAGCAAGAGATGCAGTGTCCACCTCAGCAGTGGGTGTTTCAGGAATTAGGCATCATCTCCTTAGCAGCCAGAGAGACTGGGGAGCAGGCAGTTCAGAAAATACAAGACTGCTGTTCATAGTCTCACTAAGGGAGGGGCCTGGGTAAGTGCACACCAGTGGCCTGTAGGGGGAGCACTAGCTAAGGCAACTGCTTCTGGAGTCAGACAGCTGAAGAATCTCTGGATAAGCCATGTCATTTCTCTATACCTCCACTTTCACATCCATAAGGTAAGGCTGAAGAGAGGACTTCCCTCATTAGGATTTTATTAGGAATCAAATGAAAATGTGCTTTTAAGTCAACCAATTTTACCTATAATGGCAGCACTCAGGAGAGTGAGGCAGGAGGGTCACCATGAGTTGGAGGCCAGCCTGGGTTACATAGTGAGTTCAAAGCCAGCCTGAACTATATAGCAAGACCTTGTCTCTAACACAAGACAAACAACAAAAAAAAAAGTACCTTTTTTTTTTAACTTTTTGGCAGAACTGGGGACTGAACCAAGGGCCTTTACTGTGAGCTAGTCCTGTCTTTTCCTTCTGTTTTTGTTTTTTTTTTAATTTGTCTCAAGAGTTGCCCACTCTGCAGGGAATTTGCAATCCTTCTGCTTCAGCCTCTCAGATTTCTAGGATAACAGGCATACACCATTATGACCAGCTTCAAGGCACCTAATTTAATACAGATACAATGTTCAGCCAGGAGTCATAATAACAGTGACCAGCATTTTTTGAGTCCTAATTAAATTCTGTGCTACAAAACTCTTATATACTGCTTATATACTCCACACCACAGCCTGAAAATGTAGACTGTATTATTATAGCATTATTATTTCCAACCTGTCAGTGTAGACATGGGGTACAGTTAGGTCTAACACCCAAGATCACATAGCTAGGA